GTTGGGTGATTGACTTTTCTTTGGGCTTAGTGCTTAAACTCACCTAAACCTACTTCTTTTTTATTATTACTGCCACTGGATCCAGCAGCTGAAATGGCACCGTGCTTCTCGCCACGTCAGGGTCACGCTCTGCTCCCACACACCTGCCTGCGAGCTGGACTGAGCTCAGGTCTGCTGGTTCTGCTGGGATGGGTCCCTGCAGGAGACCTGTCTGCAGAGCAACCAAACCACTCCCCAAACCCCTGTCCCTGCTTATCTTGTAACCCTTACTGGCTGAGCACTGGTGCAAATCATTTGTGTAGCTCACGTGTAATCGTGTCATCACCTGCACTGGAACCACTCAGTGTGAGACTGTCAGACGATGCAATTCTTCCTTAAACTTGTCTTCAATTTCCAGTCTACTGCTAGAGATGTTTAACTTCACTCCTCCTGTCAGTGTTCACACGCAGAAGCTGCCCCTCTCCTGTCAGTCTCATCCAGTTCTGGAGACAGAAGTTATTAGTGCTGATGAACACCAGGGTGCCTGTGGAGCTGCTTGCAGTGCGTTGCCGTAAGTACAGCTCTCAGTGGGAATGTTAGTGAGATGAGGAGGCACAAGGGTGAGATGTTCTTGGGTAGGATTGGGGCAAACTAGAGAAAAAAATACTGCTGCATAATGTCACCTTCTGGTAACAAATCCAGGTCAGAGAAGCCTGATCCTGCAGTTGGAAGCTAATGGGTAAAACCCACTTAAACCATGAATCTGAAAATGCAGTAATTTCCATTTTCCCAGCAATTACTTATGAGTAATGAGTTACAGCACAGTGATAGCAGATTATTTAGCTGATGTTTGGCGAGTCAAATTTGATGGAAATGCAAAGGTATCATTGTTTATTATATTCAATAAATAGAACAGTTCTGGGACAGAAGTTTTTAGAAGGGCAGGACTTGGCTAGTCAGCTGTAACTGTTGTTGTATGCTCAAGATAGGCTTATGAAGTCAATGAGGAATGACAGTCATTGTTAAAGGTTTAAAGGCAGGACCAAGTGTGCCTGCACCATCTGTGACAAATGTGTGTCTGAGTCATCCCTGGCTTTTCCAGCCTGCTCCAGTATTTCTCCTGCATCTCTGTAAGGTTTTTCCTGGGACCTACCCTACAACTTCCATCAGTTTTTTTGTTTCCCCCATAGCTTGGAAGCACAGCCTATATATCCTCCTGGAATGCTCCTGCATGTATCAGGAGACCTTTGTTGTTCTCTCTCTAAGCTGAACTCAGTTCTTTCAGGCTTTGTTTTTTGAAAATACCTTTTTTGGGGCCATATTTTATAAAAAAATTAAAGCAACTAGTGTGTAAGCCAGGACCCCATGTGAGAGTGAAACAATTCCTTTTGGTGTGGCAGCAGGAACGCTGTAGGTGCCCTATTCTGGAAAGAAATGTCACTGTTTTGCAGTATTAGTGCTGTGGGTTTATTAACCAGCTGGTGATATTCCTCCTGTGTGCCTAGTGCTGCTCAGAAGGACTTTGGCTGTGCCTGAGCCTGCTCCCAGCGACGGCAGGCAACTGCTCGCTGGCCCCGCTGCTGGGTGAGAAGTGAGTGTGGATGTTCTCCTGGCAGCTCCAGCTGAGGAAGAGGAGACCTAATGTAAGTGTATGAAAGGCCACCACGGACCAAAGTCCACCTGGGTGAGTCCCTGTCTCCAGCAGCTGCCAATAGCAAATGGTTCGAGTGGGGAAAACAGGCTGAGTGCTTCTTCTGAACAGTGAGCCGGGTGCAGGTTCTTGCCTTTTGGACTATGGTGTTTAAAATCCCGTGAAGGATTTATCTTCCATGACTTCACCTAGCTGTCTTCTTTTTCTTTACTCTGAACTGAATTTGAAGACAAGAATGACAAAGCCCATGGTACAGCAGCACGCAGAGCTGTGGCTGCAGTGATGCAGGGGGAGCAAGTTACATCTCTTCTCTGCCAGAGTTTGTTCTCTCAGAGCCTGCTCCTCTCGGCAGAGACTCAGGGAGGGACTGGGGAGGTTTGGAGCATTTCCTCACCTGTCCCCAGGGCCCAAAGCAAACCCTTTTGGAGGAAGGCAGCTGAACTCGCTCACTGCCCAGTGCTGGGGGCTAATTGTATCGGGAGGCTCGGTGGAGAGTAACCGCAGTGATTCAGCTCTCTGTCAGATGTCCTGCACGTTACCTCTTCTGGCACCAACAGGGCAATAAACAAGCAAACCCTAAAGACAGCGTGAAAATTCACCTTGGAAAAGGGGCAACAGGGTTCAGGAGGAAGGATGCTTCTTGTTTCCTGCTCTGCTCGATCCATCCTGGCAAACACCGGGTTGTTTGAGAGGCTGCAGAAGACCTTCATTCAAGGCACTACCATCCAGTCTAATAGGTGGTCAGATGCACTCAGTGGACTGAAGTCCTTCCTGGGAGAGCTGATGCAATGCAGGATGGCAGTAGCAGGGTCCAGAGTATTAAAAATCAAGAGGTGAGCTGGCTGAGCAGACAGCCCTGAAGCACTGCTCGTTCCAACATACTGCTGCTCGAACCCCACTGCGCCTGGTGCTGCTGCTCAGGGTCCCCTCCCTGCCTGCTGGGATGGCTGCACTCACCTTCTACTTCTTCGTGCTTTCCTGCTCCGTTTTCACATTATTGCTTGTCCCTATGGATAAGGAGGATGTACATGCCTGGCTGGACATCAGCACTGACTCAGGCCAGGAGCCAGGCTTGCTCTTCCTGGGATGCTGGTGCTCCCCGTGCATCCTGCTCCAGCTGACCCAAAGTCACCTCCAGCAGAGGGAAGGAGATGGGTGGGAGTAAAATGGGTTTCTCATCTGCTGAGGTGGTGGATCTTCTCTGCTCTCAGCAATAATTCTCACATCCCAAGTGGGCTTTGCTTGTCCCACATCTCCTCTGGCTGTCCCTTACTCTCCTACCAGAAAAAAGTCTTCATTTACCTTGTTTGCCTCTTCTGGCTCCGCACTCTCTGCCCAAATGCCTCTACAGGGTGGTGAGAGGCCCGGCTAAACCCAACACAGTCTCCTTCCTTCATGCCATGGTAGTGAAAAAACTCCTTTTCTTCCACCCACAACCTGGCTGGCTGGTTCTTGGCTTCTAATGGGCTCTCTGGAGCCCAAGCATGTCAGGAAAGCCTGTAGCAGGGATGCTTGGCTTCTTCTGGGGGTTGGAGGCTCCTCCATCACACCCCTGTGCATCCTTCCTGCCAGTCCAGTGCTCCATCGTAGTTGCAAAGCCGTGCCTGTGACACAGGAGCTGCTCGCGGGAGTGCTGCTCTTCTCCTCGGTGCCCATCAATATTTGACGGCAGGAACATTTAAAACTGCAGAGGGTAAGTGCACTCAGCCCCTGCAGAGGGTTTGTACGTGACACCGCCCTTCTGCTGTGACACAAAGAGCCCAGACCCCAGCCAAGGGCACCACTGGAAATTTGGTCCTCAGCAGCAGTGCCTGCACACTCGGTACAGCCAGCTCCTCCCAACCACTGGCAGGAGATGAGCTCAGCTGCTTTGTGGAGCAGATTCACATGGAAAAGCAGATTTGCTTTAACTTTTATGCTTCTTTTATTGTCCTGCTCAGCAGAAGACTAAGAAGTTTTCTGCAGCTAAAGAGCTCCATGTTTTTCCTCTCTGCAGCCCAGACAACAAGCTAAGTGTGTCCCCTGAGAGGCTCTGTCCTGACATCCCAGGAATATTTGGGAAGCGTAAGTGGGACAACAGCAAATGGCCTGGAGTGACTTACAGTGGATGTTTCAGTGGAAACCAGGAAGAGAGCAACGAGCAAAATCTCCACAGCACTTTATGTGGCTTTTTCAGTTTGCTGGGATGTGTTTCCATCACTCTGGATCCCACAGGATCGTGTACGGTTGTGACTTTTTCCAGCAGCGGCAGCAATAATGACCCCCTGTGACAGTCCAGCACCTGCCTTTTGGCACTACTCTGCATTTATTCCTGCAAGCAGGGGCTCCTGCCCACACTCTGCCCTCATCCAAATGCTCAGTGAGGGGGGCTCATCATGTCCCCACAGGAGCTGGGATAGAGAAGTGGTGTGAGTCCAAGCTCCGGGCTCAGCAGCTGTGTTGCTCGCTGGCCCTGCAGTTGGGAGGGTTATGGCTGGGTGGTGGGCTGAGCCCTGGGGATGTCGCAGGTGGGCTCTGGTGCTTGGAGGATGGACCACCTCCTCAGGGGTCCTGTGTTAGCTGCCCTGCTGGGATATGGCAACACAGTCATGTGTGTTCATACCTGTGTGGGGATTTGGGCTTTCCAGGTGTGAAATGGGAACTAGATTATCTCAAAGTCTTGTGAGACTTCACTAAACTGCCAAATCAGAGTGTGAGCCAGGAATTACCATCGGTTCCTCTTCTGCCTCCCCGGGAAGGTCTCCCACCTGCTTTCAAGTTCGGTTGGAAACTTTTCCCAGTCTCTGAAGTACACCAGCCGGTCTGCCCAGCCTGCACACATCTGCTCAGCAGACAAGACCTTATCTGCTCACCTCATGGAGCAAGCACAGGACTGGCCGCAGCAGCCGGTGAGCTGAGGTTCTAGTGCACCTTAACCAGAGCAGAAGAAAGGTGCTGCTCGGTGCCTTTGGCAGGAGAGCTGCTCAGCTCCTCTTCCCCGACCCCGTGGTACAGAGCGTGGGCTCACTTTGCCCTCACATTGCTCACCAGCAGCTGTAAATGCTCCGTGTTTATCTCAGCCCCATTAGTGCCACTCTCGCAGAGCTGCTGCACAACCTTTCTCCTATTAATACACCCATAAGTCACAGGGGGGAAATATCCTTTAAAGCCGTGGTGACATTTAAACCAGGGGAAGTATCAGTATATATTTGGTTTTTACATTTGTTTTTTAGGCATTTGGTTCCTTTGCTCCAGCCTCCGTTCTGCATCCGTGACTGCAGCCTTCTCCATCCAGCTGAGAGGGAAATTATGTGTGCAAGAGGAGTCAGGGCTCCCTTCCCGGCACGCTGCTCACGGCGCTAGGACTGCCGCACCTGCCGCACGCTCCAGGATGCTGCACCTGAAAGTCCAGTTTCTGGATGACTCCCAGAAGATCTTTGTAGTTGATGTAAGTGGGTATCATATTCTTATTGGGGGTTTTTTTGCGCTAATTATTGAAGTCATTGCTGCTCTGAAGGATTGCATGGTCTCTGAGAGCTTCTGGTTTTCAGCTTTAACAGGAAAACAAAAACAAAAATAAAAAACCAAAGCAAAACCCCCCCTCAAATAAAAAATATGAGGTTGTAGCATTGATTGCTAAATGTCTTTCAGCACCAAGACACTCCTGCTCTCCTTTCTTATTGGCATTATTTATAAAAAAGGAGGAATGACTTATACTTATCTGGTGTCATCTTTTGGTTATCAGCTAATATGAAGGGATGCTCTTGACAAGTGTTGAGTTCTTCTCTCATTTGTCTGGCTGCCAGGAGAAAAATCTGGGAACAGAATAAAAATAGGATATTTAACTAAACTACCCCTGGTGAGAAACATCTGCATGCATCTCTTCCTGAGCCATCAGCTGAAAAAAGAAAACTGTGGTTTTGAGAATAGCTGAGGAAAAACTCAGTGTATCTTATTTTCTGCATGGCAGTGTCCCACAACACACTGTCATTAAAAACTCACATTTAATACATGCTAGCTCTGAATATTGACTACTGAAATAGGTTTTAAATGTTAAGTATTAATATCTATGGGGTTAGATTTATATGTGTATGTATGTAGATATCTGAAACTAGATATATCTTGACTAGGTGTTATGCTTTTTACAAGTGTGATTGAGCATTTACTTTTGGTTAGGAATTGGTACTCACAGTAGCTAATTGAATTAGATAATTCAAGCAGATCTGTTCTAGCACTTACCTGCATCTCCTATGGGACCAGAGTGCTTTATATAAAATCGATTTTTTCAAATTCTATTACATTTCTTAGACAGTCCTGTCCTCTGGTTTTATAGCACAACCTGAGAACTGCTCAGTCTCAGATATATTGCTTGGTTTCTTTGTGATAACAATTTTGCACAAAAGAAGACTGTAAAGCAATTCCATCATTTGGCACAGTATGGGAGTTGTTTGATTTAGTTTTATCAATGTATGCTAGACCTGGAGTCAGCTTTAAAATGAGACTAGTCATTTAAAAATGCTTTTTTTTTTTCCCCACACTGATTAGATCAAGGCATAGCCAGAGACAATTTGAATGATGCTGCTGGTACAATATTGCTGTGGTTTTTATTGCTGTCTCTTCTTTTTTATTTGCTCAAAACACTTGCAGCACTGTGGCTCTGCATGACATGTTATTGCAACAAATATCTTCCATTAGAGGAACTCCTGGTCATTTCCTTTCTTAGCATGGGATGGTATTGGAAACCCCTTTTAGGCATTTTATGCATTTGATGCTGTATGGGTACGATAAATGAGGAGTTGAATGAGTGCCTTCTCCATTATAAAAGGACCGCTTTGGGCTAAGTTTTGAGCAGATATTTCAAGCAACTCTTCCTAAACCTCTCTTGACTTTGGAAAGCTCTTTTGAATGTGCAGCATTTCAGTATAATGGGATGAAAAAGGACAAAAGAGAGAAAACACAGAGAGCCTGATTCCCCTCTGCCTTGCTCTCATCCTGTGCATCTCTACCTGCCTCACGTGGGTACCACAGCTGCCGGCACGTGTGGTGAGCTCTGATTTCCAGCCCAGCTTTGCCAGGGACTGTGTTCCTCTCCTGGTGCAGGTGCTGGCCTGGGAAAGCTTGTGCCTCCACCCGTACCCTCACCAACAGCCGTGACCTGGCACTCTCCCTGCAGCCCCTGAGCTCCCACAATTTCCTTTGGCTGGGTGCTGGAGGTGATTCCTGGGATAGCTCCTGGGAAGCCAGGTCCAAGCCCCCAGGGTGGGGGAAGGTAGAGGCCTGGGACATCTCTGCATGTCCCTGTTGTGCCCTCCCTCCTGACCACCCTGGGGCTGAGCTGTGGTGCGGATGGGACCTTGCTGGTATAGTGCAAGCCATGTCAATGAGCCCTGCACCTTGTACTGGGAGGGCACTGGGATCCCCTGCCCCAGTGCCTGGGCACAGGGACAGTCACAGGTTGGCCTTTCATGGGTTTCTTGCACTGAGAGGAGATATTGCAAAGATTCTTCCCTTCTTCCTTCCCCAATGGATACCTAGAGCTGTGGCCTGGCATGTGCTCTCACTGATAAAATCACTCTCCTTCTCTCTGGAAAGGGTTTAGAGAGCACAGCCCTGAGGCTGGGCAGCCTCCAGAGCCTCCCAGAGCAGCAGGGAAGGGTGAACCCCTTTGGAGCCCAGGCATCTCTGCTGGTGGAGTTTGCTACAGGGCAAGATTCAGTGGGAAGGAAAAAAAGAAAGAAAAGGTGAACCAACCAAACAAGCTCAGAAGAACTAATTGCTGGGGCTGAGTGAAGGTCTTGTGTCTGTTATGATGAGTAGAGGTGGGAATTCATTGCGAGGGGGTGTGCAGAGCTGGCTGCACGAAAGCTGTTCCAGCAAGGGCACAGGGAGCATCTGGGATGGTGGCTTTTGGTGCATGGCATTGCACGCCAGCCGTGGCCATTCAGAAGACACCAGCATGCCTGGTGTGAGAGGCATCTCCCAAGGTGGTGGGGAAAGATCACACCAAATCCCATGGGCTGCTGCTCCCCTCTAAACCACAGACCCGGCTGCAGCAGCCTGTGCTATGGGGAACGCTGTGGAAACGTGGCTTTGCTGGTGGAGCACAAGCACAGCCAGGGCACCCTCTGGGGACGGGTGTGTGTGTCCCCATGTGTCACACGTGTTGCTGTCTGCCTCTGGACGTGCCTCTTGCTTTCTTACTCCACTCATTGTCCCAACTGCTTCCAGCGTGGAGGGGAGGGGTGAGCGCAGCCTCTCCTTTCCACTCTCTTCTACACAGGGTTATCTGCCTGTGGGTGCTAACCTGGCCCTGCAGTGTCATCGAAGGCACGTTTAAGGTAGGACGTTGGGTGCCCAGCCCCACGTGTCATGCTCCTGCCTCACACTGCACTCCTCCAGCACGTCCCTGCTGTCCCGAGCACAACTGCACCCCAGTGCTTGTAGCAGCCAGAGCTGGTGGAGGCCCCGGTACCCCACAAACCCAGGACAGGCACCTGCAAACACCATGCTGAGAGAGGAAAGCCTCTGCTTTTAAACCAGCCCCTGTGTCACAGGGCTGCCTCTCCCCACGGAGCAGGTTTTCCTGGTGATGGAGCCGCTTGGCTTTGCTGCCCTGGGCAGTGCTGGACTTGGAGGAGAGCGGGTGGCTCCCAGCAGACATGTGGTGGGTAATAACCCAGTAAGAAATGCTTGTCTTTCCTGGCCGCCCGACAAAGGCCAAGGCCTTTCATGCTAGAAAATTCTAGCTTGGAAATAAACATTCATAATTGCTTTAATTACCCTTGTGATCTAGTAATTTTGAGGAGAACCGGGAGTGCTGCAGAGCGAATGCTGTTATTACGCTATCACTTTTCAGCAGCCTTTCAGCACAGAGCCAGCAATTTCATCCCAGGAGAAGCTGTGAAAGGTGGTTATTAGTGTGCATCACCGCCAGCAGCTGGGGTCCCTCCCGTCCCTGCCGGGAGCAGCTGCTGGCACTGGGAGCTGCAGCCTGCCTTCCCCTCCGTCACCCCAAATGCCACAGCTCAGCAGCTGTCTCACCCGGCCTCTGCTCCGGTTTGCTTTTGCACTAACCCACACTCATTTTTCATCTGCTTTTCATGAGTTGATAAAGGAGTAGCAAGGGGTTTTTGCTGAGGTGGGTCACTGCCACGTTCATTTCTGGTGCTTTTTGGAGCATTTTCCAAAGTCAGGAAGCTCCCGGGTTGTTCCTCAAGCATGTGACACAGCACGGCAACAAGTCCAGCAAAACACCCTCCAAGTGTTTCTGTTTACTGGGACTAACCACAGCCTGGCCTCCCTTATCAGCATGTAGTGCCACTTAATTAATATTGCTAAAGTACACAGATGACCCAGGGCCCAAATCGCAGCATCTCCGCAGGGTCCTGTTGCTGTTAATTACCATTAACCATAATAGCAGCTCGTTCCTGGCAATCTGGTCGCTGGCTGTCCGGGCACATGGACTCACTGTGCAGGTTTGTCCTTGGGTCAGGCAGTTGCTTATCCCAGGGATCAGTCTCTGGTTTGTCAGGGATAGAGCTGCCTGTACAGTGATGGGTGCAAAAGGTGAGCCAAGAGCAAGATTAATTTTCCTTTCCTTTCTAGTTTACATTTCTTAATAAAGGAGAGAAGCGATGAGAAGGAATCTGATTTCCAAGAGCACAGGTAAGGGGCATGCAGTGTGCAGTTGTCCTGTCCCACAGGCTGAAACCAGCAGCATTTATTGAGTAAGGTTTTGTAAATCAGGAATCAGGAAAATCCCACAGCTCCTCTCAGGGTGAAGGCAGGAGCCCAAACTTCTCCTATATCTCACTAAAATCCTGTCAGTATTGCTGTCAGCATTGCCTAACCCATTGCTTCCACGGTGTGTTTTTTTGCTAGCAAAAATCCTGCGGAAAAGGGCTGTTCAACCTCACCTGCAGCCATCTCAACCTTGTGGAGAAGGAGTACTTTGGGCTGGAGTTTCGCAGCCAGGCTGGGAACCACGTGAGTGTGGGTTGTGGTGCTGCACCGTGCCACATCCTCGCAGCAACCGCCCGCATGGTCGGGGCTTGTGAGCACCTCCTTGAAATACCAGATGGGAAATTTCCACAGAAAGGTTTGCCATGGTGCCAAAAACCCCTTGAAAATGGGAGTTATGAGGGGAGCCACAAGCCAGTTGGCAAAGCCCTGGTGATAGCCACAGCCCACGGGATTTATCCATAGCCATCCATGGGGTGTGGGGTGGCCTCAGCAGGACAGCTCGTCACAGCAGCTGGGCTGGCCAGTATTTGTGTGCTGTGTTCTAGTGTGCTGCTGCTGCTGCTGCTTTTATTCCCCCTCTCTCTTGTGCTGTTTATTCACCCAGTTCTTCATTGCCTTATTTCAGGTCTGGTTGGAACCACTAAAACCCATAACAAAGCAAGTGAAAAGTAAGTATTTTGAGAATAACAATTATTCTAAATCACTGCCAGTGACAGACTAGTGCAGGCACATTCGTGTAGCCTTTGTTTGGGGAAGGGGGTTCTGGTTTCCAGCATTTACCTGAGCTCATTTGACAGCGTGAGGCTGGGTAGGATTGTCTGCAAAGACACCACAGTCCATATAAAATCCTGTAGAAATACTACTGCTTTTGCAAGCTGGTATCTGCTCCGTTTTAGGCTTGAGCTGTTCATGACCCAACAGCTTGTCGGAGGAGCAGAGCCTGCGCGGGCCGTGCCCAGCATGAAGCAGGGTCAGCCAGGTGCCTCGCAGGCTCTGCTGCTTCTCTCCAGCCCCTGCACCACTGCAGGGTGATGCTGTGGAGCCTGACTTGAATTCAGGCTCAGCATCCCCTGCTGTGGCCACGACCAGAGCTAACACAGTGCCCCTTTCAGCCTATACCTGTTTCCACTCCCACAATGAACCAAACTGTATTTTCCCCAAACGCATGATGACTAGGAGGTGGGCAAGGGCATGAGGCCACAACTCCCCCACTATTTGCCATGGGGAGGCTGAAGTTCAGTGTTTGCATGAATTTCCCCGTAAGGAGAAAGCCTGATACAAAGCCTCCTCTTTCTGAATGCATCAGAAGTGGGATTATTTCAGGCACCAATTGCTTCTTTCATGTCCCTTCTGGCCTGCTCTTCCAGGACCCTGTCCCTCCAGGAGCCCCCGAGCCATCCCACAGCCATCCCACAGTCCTGGAACACTCAGTGCCTACAAAGTTGCCTCCCTTCCTCCATGCTCTTTGCCTTGGGCTTGGCCACTTGCTCTCACTCATCCCACAAAAACACTCTGCCCAAACAGCCTCTTACGGAGCTGTGGCAGCCCAAGTGCTTGGAGGGCTGAGTTTAACGTACAGCTGTGCTCCAGAGAAGCACCTCTGGCACTGCTCCATGGAAATCCTGCTCCTGGCAGGGGTCTTTGCAGTTTAAATAAATTCTGGGGCATTATTTCCTTTCGTACTATTTAGGCATCCAACTCTGTTCCCTTCCATTGGTAACCCTGGGGGTCTGGGCAGGCTGGTCATGGGGGCAGGATGGAGTCCCTGATGCTCAGGGCTTGCAGCTCTGGTTTGTGAGGGCCCAGAGTAATTTACTCTGTAAGGAGACAGCATGTGTGAAGAGAGTTGTAAATGTTCTCAATAGACACGTAAAAGAAAACTTATGAAGATGTTGTGTTTTAAGATCCTAAGGAGGTTCTTTTCAAATTTATGGTGAAATTTTTCCCAGTGGACCCCGGCCATCTGAGAGAAGAGCTGACCAGGTACAGTCCTCGTTCTATTACTGTCTGACCGCACAGTCCTATAATTTTTGCAGTTGCAAAGCATGCATTTAATTCCTTACCTTCATCCACCCAAATCTGTCTGTTAGCAGCGGTTATTCTAAGTACAGAAAGAGCTCCATGCTTTACAAATCAAAAACCAAGAGTGTGTCTTTTCTTGATCCTCTATTTTTTAACAAAATCAACTTGAAGGATCAGCCACATTAAGAGGTGGCAATTTGTTTACTGCCAAATGCTTTAGCAGTTGTGCACCGTCTGACTCCACTCAGTCTAGCTCCTGCCTCAAGCTGTGCTCTGAAAGAACTTTCATTTTATTTTTAAAAATGATATTGTTAGTTCTTATGTTTTAGAGAAAGCACTTCAAACAGGAACTTAGAATGAAACTAAGACAGTGGTTCTGCAGAACATTAGCTCCGAGAGATGCAAATGCTCTCTAAAGCATAAAGGAATGTTAACTCTGAAACCTAATAATGGGTATTTCAATGGCAGGGACATACTGGTCATGCTGGTGCCCAGCTGTAGCCTTCTGCAGGGGCTGTGTGCTCCTCCTGTGACCTCGTGGGTCTGCATCCCCCCTGTTGAAAAAAGGGCAAGTGCAGGGAGAGGAGTGAGGGAGACAGCCCCCCAAAGTAGAGCCCTCGGGGCTCAGCCTGGCACCAGGCTCTCTGCTGAGCCCAGCTCACCCCCAGGCCGTGCTCCTGTCTCCTTCCACAGGTACCTCTTCACCCTCCAGATCAAGAAGGACCTGGCTCTGGGGCGGCTGCCCTGCAGTGACAAGAGCGCGGCGCTGCTTGTCTCCCACCTGCTGCAGTGTAAGGGCCTGTGGGTGCCCCTTCCCCGCGGTCGGGGCGCTCAGCGGGGCTTTGTCTGTGTAGCCAAGGGTTCCCTCTGCAGTGACTCCTCACAGACTAACCCCACTCTCTTCATCTCCCCCACAGCTGAGCTGGGTGACTTCCATGAGGAGACGGACCAGCAGCACCTGGCAACCCACAGGTACCTGCCCAACCAGGAGTACCTAGACAACAAGATCATGCACTACCACCGGAGACACAGGTAAGGGCTGCTCTGCGCCACAGTCACCCACCCAAACCACCGACGGGCGCCTGCTGATGGAGCTGTTCCCATTAGCAGGCAGGGCTGGCAGTGGGGTGGGTGCAATGCCACCAAAATGGCATTTTTTCAGCCCATTTCAGCAGCTGCCTTCTCACTCTTGTCGCTTTTCGGTGTGTTTGTGTCTCCAGCGGGAAGACACCGGCTGAGTCAGATGTGCAGCTGCTGGACGTGGCCAGGAAGCTGGAGATGTACGGGATTCGCCCACACCCTGCCAGCGACGGGGAGGGGACACAGATCAACCTGGCTGTGACACACATGGGGGTGCTGGTCCTGAGGGTGAGCCTGGGGCTTGGGGTGGGCTGCCAGCACCCAGGTGGGGTGGCTTTTACCCAGGGACATCACCTATGGTTGGGGGAGACCCTTCTACCACGTGCTCCAAGAGGGAGCACACCCCGGCAGACCTCAGGCACAGAGGTGATGCTCCAGGTGATGCTGCCGTGCCTGCCCCAGCTCTGTTGCCCCTGTCACAGCGAGTGTGGCCGTGTAAGCCCCACAGGTTATATGGCTGCGTCACATGTGTTCACCATCTAATCTTCCAGCAAAAAATAGCCACCTGTAATAGTCTGTGCAATTACATAACGCTGTAATCACGGCGTAGCTGCAGCATAAACACAGCCGTCCTCGCAGCCGGCGTGAAGCGGCGCTTGCCTCCCACACCGGCTAATTTCAACCTGGGAACATCTTCCCAGAGAAAAAAAAATAAAAATAAATATCCTAACCGTGGGTCTGCTGTTGATAATTGGTGCTGCCAGACCTGGTTATTTATTCAGAACCATAAACACCCCTCACACATGATTAGAGCATCTGTAAGCCTATTAAAATCTGGGCTCTCCCACAAAGCTGAGAGGGTCTCGGTGCCGCAGTAATGGGATTTTACCTGGTCCTGCCGTGACACCAGTGCTGTGCAGCTGCCTATAAATCGATGTGTAATGATAACGAGGGGTAAGGTAGACTCGCAGCCTGCTTCAGCTGGCTCTGAAGGCACGGGAGTGAGCTCAGCTCTGCTATGCTTCCCAGTAAAGGAGAGGAGGGGCTCAATTCTTTTGGGGGCTGATTCTGCATTAACTCATGTGATGTTTGAGCTGGGACAGATGGGACTCTCTACCCTGGTCTCCCTGAGGTTTGTCTCGGGATCCTGGAGTTTTAAAAATAGGTTCAGTAGGCAGAGTTAAGTCCTGAACCTCAATTCCCGCTTTTCGTACCAACTGATGGTCAACCATCAATTCCTGACACCCCTTTCCCAGACCTCAGAAGTATTGAGAAGCATGTCAGGGGCTTGTCCTACAAGCTCAGGTCTTGGCCCATTGTATTTCTGCAATCCTCACTTGTCCCATCTTTCTGTAACCACTGTGTCTGTCTTTGCAGGGCAATACAAAGATCAACACGTTCAACTGGTCCAAAATTCGCAAACTGAGTTTCAAGAGGAAGCATTTTCTCATCAAGCTCCATGCAAACATCTCTGTAAGTACCGCACTGCAGGCAGCTGCCAGGCTCAGGAGCAGGCAGCTGTGGAACGAGGATCAGCCACGCAAAGTCTCCAATTTGGAATAAAATCCGTTTCTGCTGCTCATGGGTGATTCTCCTTCCCATGCTGAGCATGGCACGTGCCAGCGTCATGTCCCCAGCGGGGTGATGCTGCTCTGCCCAGAGCTGCCAGCAGCCCAATGTGACCCTTTTGGGGGGTCAGGAGGGCAAATGGCAGAGCCTGGCCCTGCAGCCCTGACACTTGTCCCTGGCCACGCAGGCACTGTGCAAGGACACGCTGGAGTTCACCATGGCGAGCCGGGATGCCTGCAAGGCTTTCTGGAAGACGTGTGTGGAGTACCATGCCTTCTTCAGGCTGTCTGAAGAGCCCAAGTCAAAGCCCAAAGCCCTTCTGTGCAGCAAGGGCTCCAGTTTCCGCTACAGGTAAAGTCTGAGGGGAAAACCAAACCATTGGGGCTGGGAAGGGCTCGGGGAGGGCTCTGAGCCTACCCTTTTTGTTGGCCCTGGGTGGGTGCGAGGGGATGATGCCCAAGAGTTGCTTTTCCTGGAGAGACCACTGCCTTGGTCCTGCTCTCCTCCTCTGGGATATGGGGATGCCCAGGGCTGGGGCTGATGATGCTCACACCTTTCCCCCCTTGCTGCAGTGGGAGGACACAGAGGCAGCTGCTGGAGCACGGGAGGAAGGCGAAGATGAAGAGCCTGCCCTTTGAGAGGTACCAGGGGGCATGGAGGGGGACAGTGCCTGGGTGGTGGTGGTGGGGAATGGGACGCTGCTGATCACACACCCACCCATGCTCTTGGCCTTGCAGGAAGCACTACACATCCCGCTACGATGAGAGGCAGTGCCGCTCGTCCCCAGACCTCCTGACGGATGTCTCCAAGCAGGTATGTCCCCTCAGCATCAGCGAGAGGTAGCGCTGGGCTGGGGGAGGGTCTTGTCACCACAGCC